TGCGATTGGCACAGGACAGAGCGGAGTTTAGGGCTGTTGTACATAGGGTCGCTATGAGTCGCAAGCGACTTGACAGCACATAACAACAACAACATGGAGAGAAGCCCCAAAGTCAGAGACTGCTGGGCACACTGCTCCTCCCCTCAGATTTGCTCAGTGCAAAGAAACCATACCAGCAGGTGGAACTGAAGCCAGGACACCTGGGCCCTGCTGCTCACTCCCAGAGGTGCCTTGATAAGAAATACAGCTAGGCTGGGATCGGAGTGTGGCTTCTAACACTGATGAGGCTGCTTCATTTCCCTAAGCCTCAGTCTCCTCATCTGCTCCCTCATTAATGGACGATAGTCAATATTGTCTCACAGATAGCTGTAGCTGTAACGATTGAGTGGACAGTATGACCATAAACAATTCCAACCAGGGCCTGGAAAGGGTTAGATAAGTTATCGGCTCTGTGTTATATCAGCTCCACCACCTAAGAACAGACACACAAAGTAAATAAATGCCCTGCAGCTAACCTCCCCAAAGGGCCAAGGGCAAGGGCAAGGGGGACCATTTCCAAGACTCTTACAGCGTATCTTATATTCCTCCTTCTTCTCCCACTCCTGGAGCTCACACCACAGCTCCTCCAGGCTCTTCTTGTTCCACTGCTCCGAGACGCCTACAATTTTCTGCAGGAGGAAAGGGTCCACTCATTCCCAGCCTTTGAGGGCACTAAAAAGACGGGGGCCGGGGTTGGGGGGCAAAACAGGAAAGAGGCTCAGCCGGCTAAGTCCCCTTAGCACTTCCTCTAATGAGTCCTAAAATGGAACCCCACTCCAAGGTCCAGTGAACAGACAGAGGTCACACAACCTTTTGTTCGCCTATTGTCCCACTCCAAACTTTCTCCTCCTCCCCACCACCCCGCCTCAGTTCATAGTCCTAGCCCACACCCAGCCACACAAGCCCATACTCAGGCAGAAGTTCCCACTCCCTTCTCTCACAGCAAATGTCACCAAGCTGTATAAATTTCAACCCCCGAATAACTCTCATCCCCATTTCCTTCTCTCCATCTCCAGTGCCACCATTATACTCAAATTCATTTCCTATCAAGCCCAACAGTTACTCCTAAATGGTGCGAGTTTACTTTGTTCTCCACACAGCAATCAAAATGACCCCCTATTAAAAACACTCCACTACTTGTGGTTAAGGGAGCTCTCATGGCCTAGTGGGTAAGGCGTTGCACTGCCAAATCAAAGGCATGCAGTTCAAATCCACCAGCTGCTTTGTGGGAGAAAGATGCGTAATCTCGTCCCAAGTGATTTTACAGCCTCTGAGAACCCTCTGCAGGGTCAGCTATAAGTCAATTCGGACTTAATGGCAAGGAGAGATAGAGCCCTCTCTTAAGGCTAAGTTCAAACTCCCTCCCTTGATAGCCAACAAGGCTCTCAGAGATCTGCTCGATGCCAGTCTCAGCGTTCTCTGGTCCCTCTGACACACTAATTTCTTGTCCAGTCACGCTAAACATCACATGGATCCTTAAACCAGCTATGCTTCCTCTCCCCTCAAGCCTTTGCAGCCGTTTCCTCTGCCCAGAATACTCTCCTACTCCCTCAGTTAGCCCGAGCACCACTTCATCCAGAAAGAATTCCTGATGTTCTCCTGTCTTAGTGAGAGACCCCCCACTCTGGGTTGGTAAGCCCTCCTTCCTCATCATGGTACATGTGAAAGGTCTGGGACTCCACTTGACTGTGACTTTAGTGTGGACAAGGGTGTCCAGTTCAATGGCCCCAAACATATATATCACAATATACAATACACATAAGCATATATAGAAAACTAAGGTGCATCTGATTTAGGTCATGATCTTTTCAATCACTTGCTGTGCTTCTGAGAGCTGGACAATGAATAAGGATAGCAGAAGAAGAACTGATGCCTTTGAATTGTGAAGTTAGAGAAGAGTGCTGAATATCCCCTGGTCTGCCAAAAGAACAAACAGATATGTCTTGGAAAAAGTGCAGACGAAGTGCTCCTTGGAAGCAAAGATGATAAAGCATCATCTCACATACTTTGGACATATTACTAGGAGAGGTTGGTTATTCCTTAGAGCCAGACATCATGCTTTAAATAGTGGAGGGACAGGGGGAGCTCTGGTGGCCTAGTGGCAAGAAGCTGCACTTCAATCCCAGAGGAGCACAGTTCGAATCCACCAGATGCTCTGCCAGGAAAGGAGGGACAATCTCCTCCTGTACCTGTCAGATTTGATTTGACGGTACACACACACACACACACACACACACACACACACACAAATAATAAAATAAAATAAAAAGTGGAGGGACAGAGAAAGAGAGGAAAAGCCTCAACAAGATGGATTGACACAATGCCTGCAGCAATGGACCTAAGTGTGTCAGAGATGATGAGGATGGCACAGGAGAGGACAGGATTCAGACTGGTTATTCAGTGAGTCACTATGAGTTGTACTTGACAGCAGAGGACAATCAGAGAAACTATCTAAGTGTTATCCTTGGCCTGATTCCTAAAGAACTCTGAATTCTCCCCTTTCACAAGGCTGTGTATAAGTGAGTTCAACCCCTCTGCTCCCTGAAGCCTGCAATCAGATGGCAATTACGTCTTAATGAAGCCATTTTCTCAGTCTCTTCTCCAGCCTAAACTCCTGGAACCCCTGCAAACATTTAGCTCTCTTATCTCAACATCACCACATCTCTCTCAGAGGAGTGGGAAGATGCCCCTGGCTCTCTGCAAAGTCAGCCTTCCCCACGGACTCTCAGCATCACCACTGAGGTGTGGGCAGCAATACTAGCACAGCAATCCTAGCACAGTGGAAAGAACACAGATCCTCGAGTCTCAGAGTGCCTGGGTTCAAATGCTACTTTTGAGCCTTGCTAGCTGGGTGAGCTTGAGAAAGTCATCTAGCCTCTCTGTTTCTACGTCTTCTGTGTAAAATGAACATAATTAACAGTACCCACCTTGTAAAGTATTTGTGTATGTGCAAGGCAGCTCAGGGGTGTGAGGGAGTACACTTTAAGTCATAGAACAGAAGCTTACCCAACATGGGGTCTCATACAGATTCTCACTCAATGGGACATTTTGAGTTAATTCCACCTTGTTTTTGTGTGCCATCGTGTAGGAACTGACCAACACATCGCATAGCTGACCCTCCAAGAGGGTTTTCAGAGGCAGTAAATTGCAGCGAGGAGACTGCCCATCCTTCTCTCGTCGTGCAGCATCTGATGGATTCGAACCACCTGCCTCTGGGATTGCAGCGCAGCTTACCTTTTTTCTTCCCCCCCCCCCCCTCTTTTTTTAACCACTAGCCCAGGTAGATGAGGCAAAGGAGAAAGGCTGCACGTTGGGTTGGGAGAGGGCAGGAGAGGGCGCCCGAGCGCTGGGAGGGCTCACGCTGTCCGGGTCTTACTCCAAGGATGTCCTGCTGCTGCAGCATCTCCCGCATCTTCCGGGCCGTGGTGTCCTCTGTGGCCTGGATCGTTTTGACCAGGTCCTGGTTGCTCTGGATGAGAAACTTCGTGAGGTTCTCGAGCTGCTGGAGCGAGGTGCGCCGGCTCCTGAGCACCATCTGCGGGCGGAGCGGAGGGAGGCAGCTGCGCGCGGCCGGCGGGGGTCTCCGGGGCCTGGGGACCAGCGCCCGCCCGCCCGCCAGGCTCTCGCCCCCTCGCGGCCGCGACTGGTAAAGGCGGCCGAGCTGGGCGGCGGTTCCCATTGTCTTCGCGTCAGAGCGGTCTAGGCGCTATTTCATCCCTTCTGAAGTGCACATTTCGCCATAAATTTTGCATCTCAGATGCTTTTGTTGTTGGTAGGTGCCATCGAGTCGTGTTCGACCCATAGCGACCCTATGAACAACGGATCTGAACCCTTTTCTATCCTGTGCCATCCTCATACCTCCTGACATTCTAGAACCCATTGTAGTGGTCACCATGTCAATCTACATGGTCAAGGGTCTTCCTCACTTTTGCCAACTCCCCACCCTTCCCACATCATGTCCTTCCCCAAGGCACAGCCCCGTCTAGCAACATGCGAGGCTTATCATCTTTGCCTCCAAAGAGCACTTCGGCTGCACCCTCTCCAAGACACATCTGTTTGTTCTCTTGGTGGTCCCTGGGATGTTCAGTGCCGTTCTCCAACACCACAGCTCAAAGGCAACAATTCTTCAACTCCTCCCTAAAGTGGGGTGCAAATATTTTCACTGCACTTGTTATGCATCAGAGAGCTGGACAATGACTAAGGAGGATAGAAGGAAAATTGATGCCTTTGAGCTGTGGTGCTAAAGAAGAGTATTGAGGGTACCATGGACTGCTAGGAAAATAAACAGATTCTTCCTGGGAAGGGTTAAACCGGACGGCTCCTTGGAGGCAAGGATTCTGAGGCTCCGTCTAACATACTTTGGACATGTTGTAAGGAGGGACCAGTCCTTGGAGAGGGACATCATGCTTGGGAGAGTGGAGGGACAGTGCAGGAGGGGAAGGCCCTCTATGAGGTGGATTGATTCAGTGACTGGGGTAATCGGGATGGGAATGTCAGAGACAGTGCGATTGGCACAAGGCAGAGCAGAGTTTAGGGCTGTTGTGCATAGGGTCGCTATGAGTCATAAGCGACTCAACAGCACATAACAACAACAACAAGTAAATAATTAAAATAAATGTGTGTCCTATTTTCCATAGTACCTTAGAATCAATGAAATATGGTATTAATTCAACAAAATGTGTGAAAGGCAATGTAAGGCAGAAACCTAACAGAGAAGGAAAATGCAAATATTTTCCACCTAAACAAGGGCTAGAAGGTTGGTGAGAATGCATTCTGTCAAAGGCGGAAAATGTGTGAGACTCAGGAAAACAAGGCAGTCCTGTCCAGTTGCGGCTCTTACAGGTTTCACGGGCCCAGGAAGTTAAGAAGGGAGTGGAGGGGACAGAATAGATAAAAGGTACCCTTTCCTGTCAGCAGCTGAGCTAAGTGCATACTCTCTCAACAACAGTCCTGTGGAAGCAAGGTCAGTCTGAAGAGTTGGAGTCTGAAGAAACGATTGGCCTTAGGTGACAGCCAATGAGTCATCGTTGCGGAAATAGTTCTAACTTATAACTGACCTCCCAGTGGGTTTTCAGAGGTTTTAAATGGCATGAGAGGAAACTACCTATCTTTCTGCCCTGGACAGCTGGTAGATTCAAACCACCTGCCTTTGGGTTGACAGCACGACTCCTTACCCTGTAGGCCACCAGGGCTCCTTAACCACCAAAATGGTCAACTACTATTGACACCTCAAATGGCACATTTTATCAATTCATCCTGCTCTTTTGTGTTTCTGTAGTCTCTTACTCTTTCTGTGCTTCCTCACAATTCTTATCATTAATATATTTATCTGTCGTACTTTTGTCTGTTTCTTGCAGTTGAATGTGAGCGCTCTTTCCCTATGCCGGAAGGCCGCCTCATAGCTGAATCCTCACCATAAAATAAACATGGCACTCAATCAATAAATACTTGTTCAGGAGCCAAAAGAATAAACTATAAGAAATTAGGAAAAAAGGGAATAAAAAAAAGAAAATATTAGGAAGTAGTTAGGAGCACAGATTTGGAGCCAAATTGTCCAAGCTCATGATCTATATTAAACAAAACCATAAAATACCCTTTAAAAGTCAGGGAAAATATAACAGAAAAAATTTAAGTCCCATTTTAAAAAAATTATCAAAAGGGGGAAATATAGGACAGAATTTCAAATTCTTATAGAATTCAAACTTTCTAGATCCATGGAATCTGAATAGACTACTAAAATCACGGCCCTGGAGATTATCTTTAGTCTTTAAACGGAAATGTCCCCTGACATTTTAAAACCAAGCAAAAGTTTAGCTTAACTAGTAAATAATCTTCACTTTAAGCATCATGCTCTTTTAAGATCTATGTCTAGATCTTAAAAGTTTGATAAAATCAGACTGACAATAGCAACTCAAAAGATTAGACAGGAAGCTTACGGGGCAATGAGTTTAAGTTAATAGATGAGAAGCAATTTAGAAAAGGAGTGTGAAAAATGTTACATGATTTGAAGAATCTATCAGTGTTGTTGAATTGTTCATGAAGAAACTGGAATTGATAGATGTTCTGCTGTGTATATTCTCAACAAAAACAAAATAATTAAACACATTTTATAGCTATATATTCCCCCTTTAAGAATACTGGTAATTTCTAAATACATTTTGTCAGCAAAACCAAAGGTTGAAGGGGAAAAGAAAAAAAATCAAATAAAGCATATTTTTCCTATTTCTTTACATAATTCATTGTTCATTGAGCCACTAATAAAATTTCTTAGAGTAATTTTTCCATATTATTTTGTAGTATATTATTTTACTTTCTACTGTGTACAATAAAGACTCCTCTTCTTTTAGTCATTTTTAAATACTCTAAAACATTGTTCAGATAATTAGAGAAGTCACAGAGAAAATTACTTAAAATCATATCAGTTAACGTGGAAAATGTAATAGTAATCTTCTAAGCCTTTGTTCAAGGAGCACTGTATTCTATGGAAGGTTAATTTACTGGAAATTTTAAGATGTTAAGACACTAGATAGTTTTTAATGCCATGAAATTAAAAAAAAAATCCTGATAGTTTCCTCAGCTCTGGTGGTGTAGTCTGTAAGGAGGTGCTGGTCCACAGACCTTGCCTCTCTGGCTGTTGGAAAATACGGGCGGCTCTGAGGGAGAAAGATGGGCAATCTCCTCCCTTAGGATTAAAAGCTTTGAAAACCCACTAGAGAGGCATCAATGAGCCGGTTCTGACTCGAGAGTAGTGAGATATAGGAGCAAACACTTTGTATAAGGCTTCAACCTGAGCTACTACCATTTTCTGACTGAAATCAATGGAAGTCACATACCGCCTTGTGCCTTAGTTTCCCCAGATGTAAAACAGACATACAGAGCATACCCACGGAGTTGCTGAGGTAGAATTGAGTCCAGAAGGGCTCAGGGTGGCTTTCATACAAACATCATCCTGTCCAGCTGCCCTGGGCCACCGTGCCCCAGTGCCCAGGGTCCCCATACCCTCAGCAGCCACCCCAGTGCCCAGGGTCCCCATACCCTGAGCAGCCACTCCGGTGCCCAGGGTCCCCGCACCCTCAGCAGCCACCCCAGTGCCCAGGGTTCCTGCACCCTCAGCAGCCACCCCAGTGCCCAGGGTCCCCGCATCCTCAGCAGTGGCCCAGTCTCTCGGGTGCCTGTACCCTCAGCAGCCACCGCAGTGCCAGGGTCCCCATACCCTCAGTAGCCGCATTCTGGCCATTATCTCCCCAGGGTTAAAATTCTCCCCTTTGTGTGGTTTTTGATGACTCCTCAGCTGGCTTGTCACAGGTACGGCAGACTTGGACAGCAATGCTGGATGTAAATGGGTAAGAATAAGAGAGTGAGCGTCCAGGTGGATTGAGGGTGAGGCCCCAGCCCCACCTACTGAACCCTACACGGTGTGACAGTGAGGCAGAGAGAGTCCCTACTATGAGGTCCCTGACACCAGGGAGGGACAAGCCCAGCAGAAAGCAGAGGGGATGTGGGAGGAGGGGAGGAAAGGGGTGGCATAGCAGATGGCCAGGGACGTGACTTTCAACTTTCACTGTCCAAGAGGCTTAGAAACCCCAATTCTTTATGCCTTGTCAACGTGAGGCAGCATGAGACAGCAAGAAGTTCAGAGTACAACAAGCCTAAATTCAAATCGCTTTCCCACCAGTCTAACCAATGGAAATGTGAGGTAAGACAGGGGTTAAAGGACAAAAAGTAGGGCACCAAACAGCCTAGGTTCCAGTTCTACTATCTACTAGTTGTGAAACTTTTTTGTTCCTTGGTTTCCTCAATGTCTAAAATGGGAATAACCATGCTTACCTCATAGGGTGGCCGTAAAGATTTAAAGAAATGTATTCATTAAAGCATTTGGTTGATTGTCTGACACATACTCAAGTTTCTGTATATATATTACTAGTTGATGTTATAACAAATGGCCTGAGAATCGAGCCCATAGCATCGAAGGCCGAGTATATATGCAAACCCCCTCAGGTGTCTCTGAAATGCCCCTAAAAACTATTATCTTTCCAGGTAAGAAGTATATAAAGATTATTCAGATATTTTTTAAAAAACCAACCAAAACTCATTGTCATTAAGCCAGAACTGACTCACAGCTGCCTCTCCAGCAGGTTTTCAAGGGCTATAAATTACACAGGAAGAGACTATCAGTCTTTCTCCTGCAGAGCAGCTGGTGGATTTGAACTGTACGCCTTTGGGTTGGCAATGCAACTCCCTATCCATGAGGCCGCAAAAGCTCTAGGAAGACCCAGGCCAGAATTCAGATTAGAATAAAGCAGCTGGAGGGGACAAGCTGGGGGTCTGGTTGCAAGTCATATCGGCAGCTGCAGCAGCACTGCCATTCATCAGTGCAACCTAGTTCATTTCAGAAACATATTCATTCTCTCTTTAATGGGTCAGTATCCTTAATCCAGGCAAAATTTAATATCAAATATCAAGCTAATGAAGTGAATTAATTTTGTGTTATGTGTATGTATATTCTATTTAATCATATTGAGATAGAATGATTAATAGACTGATCTCATGGCTCTAACTGACAATATCTAAATTCGATTGAAAAAGCCCTGGTAACATAGTAGGGAGCTCTGGTGGCCTAGTGGTAAGAAGCTGTGCTGCAATCCCAAAGGCACGAGGTCTGAATCTACCAGCTGCTCTGCGTGAGAAGAATGGACAATCTCCTCCCATGTGATTTACTGTCTCTGAAAACCCACTGGAGGGTCTGCTATGGGCCGCTTCCGACTCAACAGAACACAGCACTCTACCTATTCTTCTTCCAAGACAGACGTGTTTGTTCTTGACAATGTATGATACTATATATATAGTCTCTTCTTTTTTGCATTCTATATTCTTCACCCAATAGTATAACTTAAAGGCATCAAATCTTCTTTATTCTCTCTTATTCATTGTCCAGCATTTGCATTCACATTAGACACTTGATAATATTATGAATTAGGAGCACTTTAGTCCTCAAAATGATATCTTTGCTTTTGAATATCTTTGAGACATTTTCAGCAGTATATTTGCTTAATTTTATTTCTTGACAGTTGCTTCCAAAGGCACTGATTGTGAATCTAAGTAAAAATTAAGTCCTTGATAACTTCAATCTTTCCTCCTTTGCCAGGCTGTTGTTAATCCAGTTGTGAGAATTTTTTTGTTTCCTGGTGAGTGCAGATTATAATCCACACTGAAGGCTTTGATCTTCTATAATAAGTGCTTCAAGTCCTCATCACTTTCAGCAAGCAAGGCTGTGTTATTTGTGTATCACAAGTTATTACTCTTCTTCCAATCTTGATTGATTCTTCATTCTTCTTCACATAGTCTAGTTTCTCAGATTATTTGGTCTAATAGGGAGCACTGATGGCCTAGTGTAAGAAGCTGTGTTGCAATCCCAAAGGCATGCAGTTCAAATCCACCACTGCTCTGTGGGCCAATCTCCTCCCTTGTGGTTAATTGCCTCTGAAAACCTGCTGAAGAGTCAGCTATGAATCAGACCCAACTCAAGAGTGCACAGCAACAACAACATATGTCAGTTTGCTGGACTGTGGCAGCTTCCATGTTGTTTTGATGCTGGAAGATTTGTCATTGATTATTTCAAATGCCAGAAAAGTCACCCTTGGTGGACAGGTTTCAGCAGGACATGGCAATCTACCACAAAAAAAATTAATAAAATTTTAAAAAATGCCTAGAGAAAACTTATGATGGGCAGAAGAACAGGGTTACAATGTGGGTACTGTAATTACTCTCATAAAACAAAATTCATATGAGGGATTGGATGGGAAATTAATTTGCTTTGTAAATTTACCCTCAAATCATAATAAAAATAAATACCTTATGAACAGCAGTGGAGCACCGTTTGATGTAGTGTTAGAAGATGCACCCTTTAGGCTGGAAAACACTGTAAATACAGGTAAGGAGAAGCTGCCTCTCAGAATAGAGTCAACCTTAATGACGTGGGCAGACGAAAGCTTTTAAGGCTTTCACGTGCTGATGTGTCACAGCTCCCAATGAGAGAAGACGTGCAAACATCCATGGCAACTGGTAAACTAAGAGGCTAAGCAAACTGGAGAGTGTCAAAAACTAAATGGTCTGCTTGACGATGATACCCTTGGCACTGCTGTCAGGTGGTATCCAGTCAACCGAGACTCACCAACCTCACAAACAACACATCAAAACTTTGCCTTCTCTCACACCATCCGCACAATCTCTGCCATGTTCAAGCCCACTGTTGAAGTCTCTATGCTGATATAGCTCCTTGAGGGTCTCCTTTTTTCTTCTTTTTTTTTAGGGTCTCCTCTTTTGCTGACCCTCTTACTTTTCCAAGCACAATATCTTTTTCCAAGGACTAGCCATTAGTGACATGGAATAATACCATGAATGGCACTGGCCGTTTTGAACTGGACCACTATGCTGGGAATGGCTGACTGAAGCCAGTATCTCTTTCATTGTCTAAAAGGGCGTTGTGACCTATCCTGAAGTACAGCACTGTCAAAGGCAGGATTATAACCATCTGCCATCTATATACAAGGAAGACCAATTAATAGGGACATTATTCAAATCTTTGCACCACCCACTAATGCCAATGATGAAACTGAGAAAGAAAATTTTTAAGCGGTTAGCCTCACACATATGGTGTCAGCTAGGGCTGAGAGAAGGCACTCCATCCGTACCCCGACTCTCAATCAGCCGCCCAAGTGCCCCTTCCCACCTTTCTGCATGCTAGCCAAACTCTTCATTTTGCTTTTCTTGTGGCCGCTGTTTGGTTGAACTGGTGGTAGAGCAGTTTTCTGACTCGATCGTTGCCAAGGACTGTAATCCTAGCAGACATACATAGGACACAATTAGGCACGATTTCAGCTCCCAATCCTGGTCCATTCCACTGCAGGCAGCGCTGACTGTACCTCTCTCTGGGCCTCAAGATTCACCTCTGTAGACGGAATCTAATAAGGAAACCTACCTCCAGGGGCTGATGTGAGGATTCTGAAAGACACTATCTGTAAAGTATGTGATAAATGCTCCATAAATGTTAGCTCTCACTTTGTTATCAGCCAGCCCCAATTTATGAAGCACATCTAACATCTAAGCAGTGAGGTGATAAGAACTGTGAGAAACACAAGGCATGAAAAAGACTCATTCTCAGGAAACAGAGTAGGAATCGGCTTCCTCCCCATCGCAGCAGCAGTCAGCTTTAGTAGTCGTCATCGCGTGGGCCAGGACTCACAGCGATCCTAGGATCTGAGTCCAGCCCCATCCTGTGCGGTCCTCACGCCATAACACACCCAGTCTCTCAGTGGTACAAGGGCTTTGCGCTCAACGACTACTCTAAAGGCTGGCATTTCGAATTCGCCCAACTGCTGAATGAAAGAAGGGCTGGCCGGCTGCCAAGATTACAGCCAGAAATCCGCACGGGGCCGTTCTAATCTGTCACCCAGGATCGCTGTGACTTGAACGGGGTTAAAACGACTTTCTGATGAGAAAGGAGGAGGAGGAGGAGGGGGGAGGAGGAGGAGGAGGAAGGAGGAGGAAGGAGGAGGAGGAGGAGAAAACATTAATTCAAAGGTTTTCGCCCGGTTGCACAGCGAATGTCTGTCACTCCTGGGAGTGGAATTCTGGTGTTTAATAGACGCTATCGCCCCCACTGGGAGTGGAATTCTGGTGTTTAGATTCTATCGCCCCAGGACAGTTTGTTATGGGGATTGAGTGCGATATAAGGAACTTGAGGCCCAAGTTCAGGGAGCCCTTCCCATCCCCACACACACCCTCGCTCCCGACTTCTGGAGCTCACCGGAGCCTTGTACTGGTAGATCTTGGACCGAATACTAGGACGACTGAGCCTGGAAAGAGTGGGGAGCAGGAGAACTTTAGGACTGCACTGCTGTTAAATCTTGAGGGCGTCTCAAATTTTAAACGGGCAAAGGCGGCCACATTGATAGGACCGAGTAGAAGGAGCGAGGAAGGGAAGGGGAGCGGAGCGGGAGATGGGTGGGGCCAGAAAAAGGGGGTTGATGTTAGAGAGGAGGGTCCCCCATCAGTTCTGCACCGCCCCATGTCTCTTTTTACGCACTCACCCAGGAAAGGGGTGCGCCATTGGGAGAAACTGGAGAAACGCGGTATAGTCCCTGGAGCTCTGAGATCTGGGCTGCCTGCTCGGTCTCCTGTTTCCCAAGGAGACTGGACGCTTTGGGCTCCCAATTCGATCTCCAAGGAGACGCAACCCGGACTACAGAGGCCTGGAGGGGACTAATCCCGCAAGGCAAAAATGAAAGGTCTGTCCTACAGTCGTTTCCCTGTTGGTCTCAACGGGGAGAAGGCTGTTCCTTGGAAAGGAACATCATGCTTGGAAAAGTGGAAAGCCAGAGAAAGAGAGGAAGACCCTCAACCAGGTGGACTGACACAGAACCTGCAGCAGCGGACGTAAGTGTGGCAGATGATGAGGATGGCACAGGACAGGGTTCAGACCTGTTGTTCACAGGGTTACTATGAGTCACACACAACTCAGAGATGCCTAACAAAAACCTTCTCTTGGAAGGCAAATTTGTTAAAGCCTCTTGTAGTATTTCTGTTACAGCAGTATAACCTGAGACAAACAGGTTTTTACTTAAAGTCGGCTCAGTTCTCTGTTGGCTATTATTTTTGTCTTGAGGGCCATGATGTATCTCTTATGAAAAAATAAATGGACTGTGTTTTTCATTTGACTCGATGACATTTAACAACCTTCACCACTCTGATTGGCCCGCCTGTAATATTAAAAGGTTGTATTTCATGAAGCTTCCCCTGCTTTCTTCTCCTTTCTCACTCATGGTTAACTGAAAACTGCAGGGACAATAAAGATCACAAATTCTCCTCACTTCACTTGCCTCCTGCCTAGAACTGTATAAACTGCCTACAGTCAGTTCCTACCCTCCTACACAGACTCTTGTCCTCTCCTATCTTCTCAAAAATATTGCCACAGGTGAAGTAGCATTATTTTTTCTGATTTTGTTAATTAATACATTGGAGTTTCAGAGAGATGAGGCAATTTAAGGGTAAGCTGTTGCTCTTTATTTTTTCCTTTTACTTCTTCTTGTATACCATTGAGTCAAATTTGACTGGCACAGGAGGAGATTGTCCCTCCCTCTCCAGCGGAGTATCTGGTGGATTCGAACTGTGTGCCTTCAGGATTGCAGCTCAGCTTTTTGCCACCGGAGCTCCCTGAACTGTTGCTCTTAACCTTACTTTTTTTTTTCCCTTAACCTTTTTCTGTCCTCCTGTCCTCCACTGCATCAGCAGACCTCCTTTCTTTTTCATTCTCATCAGTATGCAACCATGTTTCATTTCTCCTATTTTAAAACAAACAAAAATGTAAGCATTCCTTTCCAGCTATTTTTTTTATTTTATTTTATTAGTTTGTGTGTGTGTACCATCAAATCAGATCTGACAAGCACAGGAGGAGATTGTCCCTCCTTCTCCAGCACAGCATCTGGTGATTCAAACGATGTACCTCTGAGATTGCAGTTCAGCTTCTTGCCACTAGACCACCAGTACGCTCCTCCAGCTATTTTTTTTTTTAAGAAAATAGACACTTCTATTTTCTAGAAGCACTAGTCTACTGCAAAACTCCTGGAGGGGTTTGTCTACTGCTTCCTTTCACCTCATTTCAACTAAGCTTTCACACTTCCTCTCTCCAAATGAAACTGGTTGTACCCACATCAGTGCATAGAGACTTCCATGACGCCAATGCCCAGGCTGACTTCACTGTCCTCACCACGCAGCATCCGACTGAGCAGACAGTCCCCTCTTTGAAGTCCTTTAACTTGACCTGGAGAAAACTATGCCCTTGCATGCTTTCCTGTCAGCTTTTCCATCTCCCTTTTTTGATTCTTCATTTTCTCCCTTTAGTTGGGGCAGCACAAAGCTTACTTCCTCCCTTTACTCAATCGACTGTTCTTTTTTTTTTTTTTTCAGTTTAACCTATTTTCCTTTTTGTTCTTTTATTTATTTATTGTTGTACATTTTCACCTCTCCTCCTCCCCCAGCCAACCCTGCATTTCACCCCTTGTTCCAGCTTGTTCTCATACATATAATGCAGTCAAGAAATCAAAAGACAAATTGCACTGGGTAAATCTGCTGTCAGGGACCTCTCAAGAGTACTGAGAAGCAATGATGTCAATCTAGAGACTAAAGTGCGCCTGATCCGGGCACTGGTCTTCACAATTACTTGTTATGCATCAGAGAGCTGGACAAAGACTAAGGATGATAGAAGAATAGCCAATGCCTTTGAGTTGTGGTGCTGGAGAAGAATCATGGACATACCATGGCTCACCAAGAAAACAAATATGTCTGTCTTAGAGAGGGTGAAACCAAGTTTCTCCTTGGAGGCTAGGATTTTGAACCTTTGTCTCACATACTTTGGGTATGTGGCCAGGAGGGACTGATCCTTGGAGAAGGACATCATGCTCAGAGGGGTAGAGGGACAGCACAGGAGGGGACAACCCCAGATGAGATGGATACAGTGACTAGGGCAATGGTGGAAGGTGTGTCAGAGTCAGTGAGACTGGTTCAGGACAGGGCAGGCTTCAGAGCTTTTGTATGTTGGGTCACTATGAGTCACAGGCAACGAGATGGCACATAAAAACAACAATGAATAATCAAGTATTCCTTTCAGGTCTTCCCCTCATATATTCTAATGCAATACTCATTATCTATCCACTCTTTCCCCATTCCCTCCCCAATACCCCCATGACTGTTCTATTTTATAAAAAGTGTTGTACAGTATTTGTCTTTTTGTGACTGAGATATTTCATGTAGCATAATGTCCTCAAGGTCTCCTCATGTGTATGTTTTACTATATCATTGTTTTTCAATCCTGCGTAATATTCCATTGTGTGGATGTACCATAGTTTTTCTATCCATTAGTTTATATGTGGGTCATTTTTATCTCTTTTCTATTTTGAATAATGTAAAAATAACCATGGGTTTATTATTAAATAATAATCTGTTTCAGTTGTGGTTCTGGTATCTTCAGAGTATATTCCCAGTGGCAGAAATGCTGGGTCAAATGGTATTTCTATTTCCAACTTTTTGAGAAAGTGCCAGACTGTCTTCCATAGTGGTTGTATCATTTTAGATTCCCACCAGCAGTGAATACAAGTTCCAATCTCTCCACAACCTCACCACCATTTGTTGTTTGCTGTCCTCTCGAACTTTGCTATTGTTGCTGGTACTCTATCCACTCTTTTTTTTTAATTGTTTTTTTTTAAAATTTTTATTATTTGTGTGTGTGTGTGTGTACTGTCAAATCAGATTTGACTGGTACAGGAGGAGATGTTTCCTCCTTCTCCAGCAGAGCATCTGGTGGATTTGAACCGCACACCTCTGGGATTGCAGTGCAGCTTCTTGCCATCTATCCACTCTTAATGCCTTTTGTCAACACTCTCATGTTCCTTCCAATCTCATTAGTCTTCTTTGAATCCATAGGAAGCTCGGGTGACCTTCTCTGTAAGGGAATTTAGCTGTCAACCCAAAGGCTGCTTGCTCCTCTCTGGCATTATCTACCAGCTGCTCTAAGCGAGAAAGATTAAAAATTCACTGGAGGGTCAATTATGAGTCAGTTCCAACTTGGCAGCAATGAGTGAGTGAGTGACCAACTGGGTTGATGTGTCTCCCAAAAAGATTACGGCCGAGTCCTGACACCCTGTAATCCTGGAGAGCCAGAATCTGAGTAAGGACCAGGATCAACCTAAAACTGGCTTCTGTGAGGTGGAGGGCAGAGATGCCTCCACTCTGCAGACTTTTTACCCATTCTGGCAGCAGACATTCTCTTCCTGGCACTCCTTACTTCTCTATCGAGCTTGATCATTCACTCAGTGGCCAGCTGAACTCAGAGACCATAACCAACGTTGAGTGGTTCACTGAGGAAGTAACAAGGCACAGCTCAGGATTAAGATCCTGAGTTTATGTAAATAAACTAGTATAATAATTTAAAAAAATTAAAATAAAAATATCCGAAAGCATGCAAGCGACGAAGTCTAGATGTTTTCCCAAGTTGGAGAACAGAATTCTTCCTCTTCAGTGCAGGTCAGGTCTCCAAGCTACTCTCAGCCAAGCAGGCCTCTGCTATGCACACAGACGGGGTTGAGTAGGCTTCCTTTGGATAGGTCCCTTCCGAGTCATGCAGGCCTCTTCGTAAGCCCCTCAGAAAAGGCCTCTCTTGGCCATCTGTGCACACAAGTCCTCTTGACTCTGTTGGCCTCTGTTGCTTCAGTCTCCCTCCTGTCAGCCACTCCACTGTTAAATGAACTAGCTAATAGGCAATGTAATAGCTTTCTTCAGCTCTTACCTGCATTCCTAACAACAGATTTCTGTCCGCCACTACCACTAACTTCTGAGCCGGCTGCCACCACCTCTGCCACAGAGCCTCTCCTTGACCTGTTGCTGTGTCCAGTGTTACAGCCTTCGACCCATATTAAATCTATTTTAGGAGCGCTCTGTCTCTCGCTCTTCTTTCTTATTTTTTAAAAATTTTGGCTGGTTACACATATGCATACTCCTTGACAATTTCAAGGCATGGCCTTCCCAGTAATGTCATCAACTGACCATCCCTTTAGTGAACAGTAATCACTTCATTTGCTTAGTCTATGTTTATGGAGCTCTGGTGGCCTAGTGATAAGAACTACACTGTCAACCCACAGGCACACTGCTCTGGGAAAAAGATAAGCAATCTCCTCTCTTTCAATTAACTGTCTCTGAAAACCCTTTGGAGGGTCCAGTCTGAGTCTTTCAGACTAGATGGCACACAACAATAGAGTATATTAAGGGAGCTCTCTGGAGACTAAGGTGCATCTGGCACAGGCAATCACTTGTTATGCGTCAGAGAGCTGGACAATGACCAGGGAGAAGGAGAATTGATGCCTTTGAGCTGTGGTGCTGGAGAAGAGTATTGAATGTACCGAGACTGCTAAGAAAACAAACAGCTTCATCCTAGAAAGGGTTAAACCCGGCTGCTCCTTGGATTTGAGGATTCTGAAACTTCCTCTGACATATTTTGGTCATGTTGTAAGGAGGGTGAGGTCCTTGGAGAAGGACATCATGCTTCGGAGGGTGGAGGGCAGGCACAGGAGGGGAAAGGCCCTCTGAGAGGTGAATTGATTCGGTGACTGGGGCAATTGGGATTAGTGTGTCGGAGACAATGAGATTGGCACAGGACAGGGCAGAGTTTAGAGCTGTTGTACACATGGTCACTATGAGTCGCATCGATGGCACATAACAACAACAACAACAAGAAGGGAGTTCTGAGTGTGTGTGTGTGTGTGTGTGTGTGTGTGTGTGTGTGTGTGTGTTTAGGAGTTATTCATCAGCTGCTCTGCAGGAGAAAGGTAATCTATGCAATTTACAGCCTGTGAAAACCCCCTGGAGGGTCAGCATGGTTACTCAAGGCAGATAACAACCACAAAGTGTATTAACCAACTCCTGCCAGATGTGTAAAATAGGAGGATCTTAAGCCTTAAGATCAGATAAAAAGTATCAAACCATTAAGTTGTTTACAGCCTTCCCAGGACATAAATGTCAATCAACCTGGACAAAAATAAGTTCACAGGGGGGAGAAAATGAAGGCAAAGGTAATTTCTCCAGATTCAGGTAGAAAAGCTCCATAAACTGTTTTTGTTTCCAAAAAAACTAAGGTAAAAAGGAATCCCCAATAATGTGAATGTGACCTTTTTATTTTGGGAAATAAGATCTTTGCAGAAGTAATCAAGTCAAGATGAAGTCATATTGGATTTCAGGGTGTCCAAATCCAGTAACTGGTGTCCTCTTAAGATAGAAATTTGAATGTAGACATACAGACGCAGAGACATAAGGGGGCAAATATCCTGTGACGACAAAGGGAGCAGTTAGAGTGAAGTACCCACAAGCCAAGCAATTATCCCACAGCCAGCAATCAGGGAAGGCCAGAACAGAGTGACCACACAGCTCCTCCCTCACAACACTGACACCCTGATTTCAGGCTTCTAGCCCCTAGCTCCTCCCTCACAACACTGACACCCTGATTTCAGGCTTCTAGCCCCTAGAACTGTGAAGAGGGAGAAAGAAATAAATTTGTTGTTTATCTATCTAGTGTATTAGATATGGTACATGGTTATGGCAAGCCCTGGGAAACTAAAACAGAGAAGTCTGTTCCATAGCAATATCTTAAGTGTAACAGCAACCAACTGAACATGAGTCTTTGGCATATGACAGCAATCAGCATCAGAATATTTTAGACAGAATAGAAAGTATGTCCATTCACCCAAATAGCTATTCTCTTTTTGCTGGTGGTGGTTGTTGTTGTGTACTAGAGTCAGAAGCAACCCTAGGTGACCTTCTGCCGAGTTTTCAGAGGCAATTTCAGGGTGAAGACTCCCCTAGTTTCTTTCTCCCTCGCAGAGCTGGTGGGTTCGTAAAACATGTCTTCAGGATTACACCTCAGCTTCTTCCCACTAGGCCACCAGAACTGGTAGAACTCCCAGTGTTACCTGGACACACAACCCACAGGACAGATTCTATTTCCCAGGCTTCCAAGCCGCTAGGTTGCCATGTAACTAGACACTAGGAGATAAGCAAAAACACACGTGTAAGTGTCCTTAAAGGGACAGAACCACTTTCTCCAACTTAGAATGTTATATGTAATGGTTAGAATTCAGCAGCCATTTTGGACTATGAGGTGTTCTTAGAAACTATGTACAAGGCCAAACAAGACTACAATAGAGTGAAAAATACTGTTATAAGGTGGTTGTGGTTGTGTACAGTCAAGTCAGACTGACCCTCCAGTGGGTTTTCAGAGGCAGTTAATCACACAAGAGGAGATTGCCCATTCTTCTCCTGTGGAGCAACTGGTGGCCTAGAAACTCGTGCCTCTTTGGGACTGCAAGGCAACTTCTTGCCACTAGGCCACCAGAGCCCCCTCAAGCACAAGAAGAAGTTATAAAAATAAAAAAGAAAACATGGATCCTTGGCAGCCTGAAGGCATGAGCTGTTTACCTTCAACTTATATTAAGACACAATGAATTTTTTTTTAAATCCACTATCATGAGTTAATTGAGTTATAGCAACTTTATTAGGGACCTCTGGTGGGTGGCCTAGTGGTGAGGAGTTGCACTGCTAAGCTGAAGGTACATGGGCAGAATCCACCAGCTCTTCAAGGGGAGAAAGATGGACAATCTCCTCCCTTGCGATCGATTTACTGCTTCTGAAAACCCACCGGAGGTCAGTTATAGGTTGGTTCTGAGAGCAGACGGTGCATAACAACAACTCTACAGCAATGAGTTTGGGGAGCTGTGGTGTCCTAGCCCATAAGGAGTTGTGCCACTAGCCTTGCCTCTGATGGATCGAATCTGGCGGGCTACTCTCTTTGCCTTGTTCTTTACAGCCTCAGGAAACACAATGGAAGGTTAACTCTGAACCGATCCTGCCTCTATGACGACGGAGCACAAGGGAAATTTCTAAAAACAGAAATATACCAAAACACGAGGCCTGATGATTGAATAGAGAGCAATAGGGGTAGAAATACTATCACACACATTGCCATGGGAATTCATGGCTGACCTTTCCCTTCAGCAGGTTTTCAGAGGGTGTAAAATTGGACCCCATCCTTCTCTCAGCAGCAGGTGAAATCGAACCACCTTTGGGTTGGCAAACCACCAGGACATGAGCTCTCTCTGCATACATGCTGCTGAAAACCCACTGGAGGTTTTTGAGCTATGAGTTGGTTACAACTCAACGGTTTTGCACAACAAAGAACGTGAATGATTAAAATCTAAAGTGTTCACCGTAAAATCCTCCCGACTTTTACATGAGGAAATGTTCCTAGCTAGTGCTGGAAAACACAGTGTATTGTGTTAACACTTTGGAGGGGAGGGAGAGAAGTTTTGTTTCAACAGAAGGTAAGAAAACGGAGAGAGATTTTCGACTCTGTCCCGCCTCGGGCCAGCAGGCTGTTAGCAGTGCTGCCTGGAGGAAGTCATCGAGGACCGCTTGCGAAACAAATCCTCGAGAGCGAGGCCGGCGGCCGCCAAATGCAGGCGGAGGAAGGGCCGCGCTTCCAAGCTCCCCATCCCGCGTCCGCGCCGAGGACGTGGGGCCGCCGCCGGAGTAGGAGGAAACGCGGCCCGGCCTTTACGAGGGGCTCCGGCCAGGCTCCGGCCAATATGCGCCGCTCGTAAATACCTTCAAGGGGGTGAGGGGGAGGAGGGGAAAGAAGCATCAAATTTCAAAAAATAACAAAACCCCCACAGCGCCGGGCGGGCGGGCGCGCTCGATGGGCGCTCTTACTGCGGGAGCGAGTGGAGGATGCTGGGAAGGAGGTAAAATGGCCACCGGCGGCGGCGGCAGCGCGGAGGACGAGAGGAAGCGGGCGCGGACAGCGGCCCGGGCCGAGAAGCCCGAGGGCGGCCGCGAGAAGCTGGGCTGGGCCCAGGTGGTGAAGAACTTGGCCGAGAAGAAAGGCGACTTCCGCGAGTCGCGCCTGCTGCGGCGCGAGGAAGAAGGCAGCGCCGGCGCGCCGGGCGCCACGGGCTTCGGCGACTTCCCCCCAGCCGCCCGCGGGGACCCGAAGGGCCGCCGAAGAGACCCCGCCGGCGAGGCCGCGGACTCCCGCAAGAAGAAGGGCGCAGCCGAGGCGAGCAGGAAGAAGACCGAAATGGCAGCTATGGCGGCCCCGGCCAAAGCGGGCCCCGAGGAGGAGGCGGCCGAGCGGCCCCACGCGGACGAGCCGGCAGCCGCCGCGGTGGGAGCCGCAGCAAGTCCCGGCAAGGGTCGCTTCCTCGTGCGCATCTGCTTCCAGGGGGACGAGAGCGCCTGCCCGACCCGGGACTTCGTGGTGGGCGCGCTCATCCTGCGCTCCATCGGCATGGACCCCGGCGACATCTACGCGGTCATCCAGATCCCCGGCAGCCGCGAATTCGACGTGAGCTTCCGCTCGGCCGAGAAGCTGGCACTGTTCCTGCGTGTCTACGAGGAGAAGCGCGAGCAGGAGGACTGCTGGGAGAACTTCGTGGTGCTGGGGCGGAGCAAGTCCAGCTTGAAGACGCTCTTCATCCTCTTCCGGAACGAGACGGTGGACGTGGAGGACATCGTGACCTGGCTCAAGCGCCACTGCGATGTCCTGGCCGTGCCCGTCAAAGTGACCGACAGGTTTGGGATCTGGACCGGGGAGTACAAGTGCGAGATCGAGCTGCGCCAGGGGGAGGGCGGGATCAGGCACCTGCCGGGGGCCTTCTTCCTCGGGGCCGAGAGGGGCTACAGCTGGTACAAGGGGCAGCCCAAGACGTGCTTTAAATGTGGTTCCCGGACCCACATGAGTGGCACCTGCACGCAGGACAGGTGCTTCAGGTGCGGGGAGGAGGGGCACCTGAGCCCTTACTGCCGCAAGGGCATCGTGTGCAACCTGTGTGGCAAGCGAGGGCACGCCTTTGCCCAGTGTCCCAAAGCCGTGCACAACTCCGTGGCAGCTCAGCTCACCGGCGTGGCCGGGCATTGAACACCTGCCAGCCTGCCACGGTGGGCACACCAGCCAGCTTAACCCCTCTAAGTGCCAACTTTTTCAAACTTTTTTTTTAATCGTTTTTGAAGGACATTTTTACGTTAATTTCCAAGAGACATCACCCTCTGCCTTCTTAAAGCGAGTTTCCCGCCATCTCAGCCTTTTTTGACTTGGTGACGCTCAATAATGACTACCGCGAACTGTGAAGGTGTATCGTCTTTTCGTTTTTAAGATCTGGTGTTTTAGTTTGTCTTCATTTTGGGTATTTTGTTTTGGCCTTTTGCGTTTGTAACTTCCACCTTCTGCCCGGATTGTCTCACACTCTCTGGGCTGCCTTGCGGATTTTTCCGTCCCAGCACGAGTCCTGTGGCCCTCCACGTGATGGTTGAATTGCTAACTCTTTCTGCTGCGGCTTCCATTAGGATTGCCTCCTTTTTGCAGTTCACCCCTCTATTTAATTTGCTGCTTCAAATCTGTGTGGTCTGAGAAATTGTGAAACCAGTGTTGTTAGAAGTGTATGTAACTCTGATTCAATAAGCTCTGAATGGTGGGCTAGGTCCTCTCCTAATGGCCAGAAAATGCAGGGACTAAATGACAGCTCTTAAAGATGGTTCAGAAGCCATTTATATAGATTCATGGAATCTAAAATTTTCCTGTTGGGGAAAAAATGGAGTTTTTGGTTTAAAACAAACCCCTAGGTTTTCAAAAGGGGATATTAGACCCAGAGAGGTTAAGTGACCAGGTCAAAATCGAGTTGCTGTCTGGTCCCAGAGCTGAGCCTAGGGTAGAGTTCCCTGGCCCCAAGCCGGGTGCTCATTTCACTACCTCTCACACTTCACTCCCCCCCCCCCTTGTCACTCGAGGGCCGAGAATGTCCAATCTCTCCAGAATGCTGAGCCCAGATAATCATTCAGGCGAGCTGAGCCTAGAAAGCTTTAGCAGGGACTTCTCTAAAATACAAGGAAGATAGGGAAAGGGTTCTGGTGTGGTCATTGTTCTTACCATCCTACATTCCCAGTGAAAATTGTGCCAGGTCGTCTGAGAAAGTTCCCCTTCTTTATTCAGTGGGACCACTGAAAGATGGGGGCTCCTGATGAAGAAACCCCCTACCAAAGGTTTACACTTGCACCTTAGCCTCATTGCGTAGAACCCCAGAGAAGCAGCCTGTTGGAGCTCATCTGTAACGTTCTGACTCTGGAGAGGCAATTTTGACCCAGAATTGTAAGTGAAGTGTTAACACTACAATATACTTGCGAAACAGCCCAAGCAAGAAGGTTTGGGTCTACCGAGAAGTGTTATCAAGTTAATGTAGGAAGGATAGTACACTGCTTTTATCTTAGTTTTTGTCTTTTTGTTTAATGTTTTGATACATCCTTGTGGCTTACAATGTTAAATCAATTGTTAAAGAGTTTGGTTCTGAATAAATATTTATCTTTTGTATTGCTAATGCTGCTGCAATTATTTACTTTTGAAGTGTTAGCTGAACCACCTTTCCCTCCCACCACATTTTTGCAGGTCACCGAACTAATCAGACTCTAGTTTAATTGGGACTTCCCATCATTTGTTTACCCTGCAAATACCCCTGCAAGCCAGCATTTGGCACCTACTATATTTTGCCAATCCCTCGGGGCTGTTGCCTTAACCTACTGCATCACAAACACAGAAGACAGTTGTAAAGTTCACATTTTAAGCCTAACTCGGCTTCCGAAATCAAAATCATTAGTGTGAGTGAAACTACATTGTCAGTAGCCCCCAGCAAATTTTAGATAACTAACACTGGTTCATCCCTCAGGAAGATGTCAGCTTCATCTTTTAAGTGCCAAGAATGGCATGGGAAATCCTCTAGGATTTACTGAAACAGAGAGGAAGCAGAAAGAGGATCCAGGAAACTAAGCCCCACTCCCTTTTCACAATTTATGCTGGCAGATCTTGAGTTCCAGGTTATTGCCCTGCAAACTCCAGATGCCACCTGCTGAAGGATTTTGCAGCTTGCTGGTTGTAATCTTGAGAATTCAAGTTCCAGCATATTGATTCTCTGACTCAAGTGACTGGAGGTTATTGCCAGAGCTGATCAGTGGAGTTGTGGCCTAGTGGGAGCCAGCCCAGCCCCTCCTTCCTGCCTGCACAGCCCAGACCTTTGCAGGCTCGCGCCTTCCTCCTTCCTCCCTTCCGCCTCGCCCCTCTTCCTCTGCTCCTGGGCCTGTGGTTTCGCTATGGCTCACGTGGCTGGAGGCCGGAGGCTGGGAGAAAGCCTGCATTCTCTCCGCTCCCGCCTCCTCCCCTCTGCCAGGGGCGCCTCCCCGCGAGGAGTCTTTTCCCCCTCCCCCTGCGGTCCCCTGGAGCGAGCAGAGGAAGAGGCTGCTTCCTTCTTCCCAGCCCCCACCGGATCTGCCTCGGGGCTCCCTGGCCTCCCCCTGGCATTGCAATGACCGAGCTGTTGCCTGGGGTGGGACAGGCCCTTCCCTGCTTCCTCCTGCAGCCCCCAAATAACTGGTAAAGAGTTTGCCATCCCTGAGACGGGGCCCCACGTGCAAGCAGACAATCTGTTTTCAACAAATATGAGGACCAAGACACTGTTATATAGAATATATATATGTCGTTATCGACCCATAGCTGACCCTCCAGTGAGTTTGCAGAGGCAGTAAATCACACAGGAGTTGATGGCCCATCTTTCTGCTATAATTAGGGTGTGTGTGTGTGTGTGTGTGTATGTGTGTGTGTGTGTGGTATTACAATACTATAATACATATATTTTTGGAAGCAGAAGCGGCATCCGCTTCCTAAACAACATGCCTCTGGAAATTTTATAAACTTTGATAAATGACAATACTTGTAGAAAGGCTTCAGGTCTTTTGTTCATAGCGTCCCTGTGAATCATGCTTGACTCATGGCAACAACAACAACTGTATATGAGCAAGACAGTGCACTCAATATGAGAGATAAAAAAAATGGACAGTTTTTTAAAAAAGTATTTTAAGAGATTTGTTCCAGGGAGGAAAAAAAGTACACAATCAGAAGTGGAGGTTTTCTAGTAGATAGTGTTCTAAACTTGAAAAATTTAATAAGGTTTGTAAAGGAGGAAAACAGATACCTAGGCAGCAGGAAGAGACTGTGCAGAGACTGGGAGGCCAGCATCAGGAGAAGGGTGTTTGGGGAAAAAAGGCCAAGAAGAGAGAACGAGGCTTGCCAGCCATATGTAAGATGCTTGGTTTTGCTTTATTCTGCCCTTAGGTTGAGTTCTCTAGAGAAGCAATTCCAGTGAAGCTAATGTTTATTTCGAGGGAGTGGCTCACATGCCTGTGGAGGCTGGCAAGTCCCAGAGGTTACAGAGATGCCTCTGGGTAGGTAGAGGGATCTTGAGTGGTCAGCAGGCTGCCAGCTTCACAGTCTTAACAACTTCAAAGTCTGCATGTGAGGGAGGCCACTAGTTCAAGTCTGGGAGCCACAAGCAAGACAGCCCAGTGTAGATCAGACAAAAAGCTCACAAGGATTTTTTCCAGAGAGTCCGCACATAAATACCTTGCAGGCCACCTGAAAAAGGTGGTCTTAGCTTTACATATCTGCTTGTAATGCTGCCTCATTAAGATATAGGTTAGGATTTACATACAATACATTGGACAGTTACATTATTATGAGGGTCATGGCCACACAGACATGTACTATTACCCATAGTTCACCCCTTGTCAGCGTGACTCCTGAAGACTCATCTGTTTAAACCATACGTAATCTCTAAACAACAAACAATTGTATAATCATACTTAAATCTAACATAATACAATTATATGTACAACCAGAAGCAGACTAGCCCCTCTTACCTTGGGTTTTATAAATGAAAGCGAAAATATGTGTGTATATAAAAAAGAAATACCATAACAGTTGTGTATTATTGAGTCAGAACCGACCCATAGCTGTGGGTTTTCAGAGGCAGTTAATCGCACTGGAGGGAGGTGATTGCACATGCTTCTCCCCAGAAGAACAGCTGGTGGCCTCGAGCCACGTGCCTTCGGGATTGCAGTGCAGCTTTTTGCCACTAGGCCATCAGAGCTCCGATATCATATTTGGAAATGATCATATAGCTGGTACTCAGAACTACCTTCTCCTACCACCCATTTGCCGTCAGAAGCACCTCACCTGGTTGTGGTTCTTTGCCTGGTGAGGTGATCCACACTAACTTCTGAAAGGTCTAGGCTGTTGATAGTCATGGAAGAATTGGGTTACTGTTCCTTTCTATTGACTGTAACTACAAGGCATGGGAATACTAAAAGACGAGCTACAGATTCTCCCGGATCCCAGACATACCCTTCCCTACCTCCATTAGGTAGTACAAGTCCTATTTCCTTTTGGTAATTAGTATCACATCAGCCCGTACAGTAACTCCTTTCTTCACCTGTTGAATCAGAAAGGAACAGACCAAAGTAGCCAGGTGGCATTCTTAACCATGACCTTATGGGGAGTTCCTTATGATCAGCTGACTGATGAAGAGAGTAAACTCCCACTAGTTTATTACAGATGGTTCTAGAAGCAGGCACCCTTGGAAGTAAGACTGTGAATAGGCCTGTAGCCTGTTTCTGAAAGTGAACAATGAAAATCCTCCCAATGTGCACAGCGTTTTTAGTATTGTACCTGGTTGTTTCCATTGCTTGGAAGGAAAAATGGTCAGATGTGTGATTATATATAGATTCATAGACTGTGTGTCGTCAATGGTTTGCCTGAATGGCCAGGAATAGAATTGGAAAATTGTTCTCTAAGAGGTATGGGGAAGAGTTATATGAACAGACCACTGTGAATGAGCCAAGGAAGTGAAGATGTTTGTGTCTCATGTGAAAGCTCACCAAAGGGTAACCCTCAGCAGAGGATCTTAGCAATCAAGTGCATAGGATGACACGTCCTGTGGGAAACAATCAGCCTCTTTCCTAGCTGCTCATTCATTACCCAGTGGGCTCATAAACAAAGTGGCCATTGTGACTGTGACGGACGGACGTCACATATGGACTCAGCAACATGAACTTCTACTCACCAAGGGTGACTTGGCTACACCCTCTACTGAATCTCCATCTGCCAGCAGAGACCAACACTGAATTCTTGATAGAGAATCATTCCTCAGGGTGACCAGGCAGCAACTTGGTAGCATGTCAATTACATAGGACTGACCACTTCCATGGAAAGGGCAGCATCTCCCTTACATACAACACTTCCATCAAAACTACTATTTATGGGCTTACAGAATGTCATCCACCATCATGGTATCCCCCAGAGCATCACCTGGGATTGAAGAACTCCTTTACAGCA